GAGGCATTCTTTGATAAAGAGATCAGTAGTAGGTCTCTTTAGTGACGAAACAAGAGGACTGCATACCACAGTTACAAATTGCTTGCTACACAAAAAACTTGGATGCAAATTTTTGTTTTCAAATATATTTAAATTGGCCATTGACAGTTTATCTTCATTCTCACAGTAAAAATGTTGACCAATAAGTTGTGAAAAATCCGCCTTGGAATATGTTTCGTTGTCTTCAATTATGTACATACTTTTATCCGCCATTATTTTAACCAACTTTTTTGCGCGTTGAATTCCTTTAATTTTACCATTTAAGCTTCTCTTATATGTATGTTTTATGAAATGCTTTAATTCCAGCATTTTTAAGTACTTTTTTGATATTAGAACATGAAATCTAGAATTTTCTTGCTAGATCTTGCTGTGGCTAGTTCATATTTCTTGCTATTGAACTGATAATCGATTTTACCTTTTTGGATTTATGGAAAGTTTTCTTTTTTCCACTTCCATTTCTTTCGAAGCTTTAAGTAGTCTTAAACTTATTTAACATGACTAGTAGATGACAAAAAAAATTTTGGCACATTTGTACGTATAGCAATTAAGCGATATGAAATCGATGGATTTTTGCAAAAAAAATTAACAACTTTTTTACGCACCTCGATTTGTTTCCGAAACTTTTTGCAACTCATTGATTTGTAAACAAAAGTTTATCAACACAATTAAAGATAAGGAAATAACATTTTAATTTAAAAAATAAATAAAATCATTTGTGGTTTTAGAGAAATCTCAATTTAAAGTTGACCGGAATTTTCCCTGTCCACCTGATAATTAGCATTTTAAAAACAAATTAATTTTTAAAATAATTGGTTTCTTTTTTTAAACAGGCAAGACAAACCTTACTTGTAAAGATTTTTTTAACCTTTTTCAATTCTGATGTTCATTTTCTTCCTGAAATCCATTTTCAAACTTTTTTGTTTATATAAATTTATCACAATAAACCACATTCTTAGCAAGTAACATATATAATTTGATTTAACTTATAGTTATAGTATTTTTTTATGTAGTTTTTAAAATTTACTAAACAAAAACTTTTATATAAAAAAAAAAAAACAGTACCTAATGTATTAATCAAATATTTTTGAAGCCAGGCCCAGTGTTCCTCAGCTTCTTTGCGTGATGAGGAAGTTGCTATCACTAATAAAAAAAAATGATCATTTTAATAAGTATTACTAGAAAAAAAATTAGTTTTATAATATGATATAAAATATAAATGTATTTACCCACTTTGACTCATTTAAAAAAACATATTTTTTTGTTTGTTTGTGTCTAAGCTTTTGACTTTTGTAAAATAATTATTTTACAGGGTTATTCATTTTTATTTGCGTGTTTATGCAAATAAAAATGAATAACATGTTTGCATATTTATTTATTTCTATATGCATATTTATTCATTCTTATATGCGTATTTATTCATTCTTATATGTGCATTTATATGCGAGTCAACTACCCATAAAATCTCTAATATAATTTTATATAAACAATAAATTGTTTCCCTGTATGCATAATTCAGTAATATTTTTTATTAGAGCGTTCATAGGTCTTTTACCTTGTTTTTATCAGGAAACAACTTGAATGCAGTCATGTTGCCAAATTCTCCTATGTTTAACTTAACAACAAGATTTTGAACTGTGTACTTAGATGAATTAAGATAAGAGTCTACAACAAGTATTTCCATGCTTGTTGTTGATTCATTTTTCCTTAACGCTTAAGCATTTCAATGTGCTCTTTTGCAACATTTTTCCTTTTTTTTTTTGATTGGCACTACTATTTTTTTTTTCCATCCATAGGGTAAATATTTTTCTATTCAGTAAAAAATAGAGGTCTCTACCAATTTACATATCTACTATTCTATACATATCTATTATTCTTCACACTGATTATTTCTATACCTATTCCTTATTCACTTCAAAATTTTTTAGTAAAATAATTTATTCTGAAAAATATCAAAATTGTGGCTTCAACGATTTACAAAAAAGCCGTGTCTATTATTTTTAATGGTATAAGAAGCAGATGATATAATTTTAGCAATTAGATATTATCAAGAGAGGGGCAAATATCTAAAATAGAAATTAAATATATATTTTCAAAGAGTTCTAAAAAAATTCATAAAAATTATTTGTTTCAAAAAACGTTTTATAAAGAGTTTCTCCTAATAATCTTTTTTTAATTGCATTTTTCTAGAAATACGTAGTAAGCATATTAAGGCATTTTGAAAAACAGCTACAGCATATATTTATAGTAAAAAAATAAATGTAGCAAAAAAAACTTTTAATTGTCAAAAGAAAGTTTTTACGGGCTTTTTTTTTTTTTTGCTTCCACATCGGCACTTTCTGGAGTAGCCGAACTCTCTTATTAAGTTTTTTCTTTAATAAGTTTTAGACAACTTTTTTTTCAGTCCATCGGCAGCTTATTAGGACTAATTACCTGAGCACATTAATAACATCTCAATCATGACACATACGCAACAAATTCTTTCTCCCGGTGTTTTATGTTTTTAGAAATTTTAGCTTTTTAAAGATCTTTTTATTTGTTAAAGTGTATAATATCAATAGATATGTTAATATACAATCTCTATAAAACTTTAAAAGTATTTTGTATTTGAAAATAATTGCAAAAAATAAAATAAAAAGTCGCCAGTGGTAGGACTCAAATCTTGGCTTACTTGTTCAGAAGCTCGGCACGCTATCCATTTTGTCACACTGGCACGTTGTCAAAACAAAACTTTTTACAACTATACAATAATTTTTTTAATTGAAATAAATGTTATAGATCAAAATTAAGGAGAGCTTGATGCAATGCAATTTTCAAGGTAAAATCAAATCAAACTTGATATTTCAGTATGTTATAAATACGATAACGTGTTTAAACATTTCTATATAAGTTAAGTTACACCAATATTTAATTTGAAGTTTACTTATGCTAGATATTTACATACATTTTCGCTCACGTTTGCTTACAACAAATTGTACTGCGACTCTTTCTTGCCACTACCTTGGTTGCAATGGCTGCCAAAGGTTCCGTGTCAAACATGCTCGAAGGGGCACTACTACTACTACTATTAAGTTCGGCAATAATATATAGAGATAAATAATTAAATTTAAATATAGATAAATGAATAATTAGATAAATAATAATATAACAATCAATAAATTTAATAATAAAATCAAACAAAGACCTAATACTAAATAATTCAGAAAAAGAAGGTTGTTTGTACTTTGAATAAACCATCATCATATGTAAAGTCTTTATTTTATTACCAGGAATCAAGAACAATTTATTTTGAAAAAACTGTTTTTTTAAAATGCATATAAGAATGAATAAATATGCGTATAAGAATGAATAAATAGGCATTTAAAAATGAATAAATGCGCAAATAAAAATAAATAGAAGCGCATATAAAAATGAATAACCCTGTTAATAGGAGAATATTTTGCCTGAATAAAATTAACAAAAAGTAAACTAAGATAATAAACGAAGATAAAGTATATGAAGATAAAAATAAGTAAAACAATTTCAAGCAGCAACTAATTGTTTTTATTTAATTTTAATTGGTTGTTATGTTTAAGTGGTGAGCCATACACTTTTCATCTCAAAAAAAACTTCCTTCTTTCATTCAATTTTTCAAACTGTTAAAATAAGTTGCTGTTAAAATAAGAAATTATGAAACAAACTCAGCTATACAAGTATTTTTTCAAAAATGATGTCGTTGGAAAAAGAATTAGAAGATCATAGAGAAAGATAACAAGTGTATTAAAAAACCAAAAATAAAAGAATGCTCTGTTTTTGGAGACCTTGATATTAACAATATAAAAGGCATGTGGTTTAATCTGGAAGATAAAAAATCTCGTGATAAACAACTATCAGGTTTAAGAGAAGTTTAAGCACACGAGTGTCTTCACATCCTTTAAAAGTTTTTAATGCAAAAACACAACTTTCTACTAGCAAATAATTGTCCAGTTAGAATTCCAACTACATCAAACTTGTTCAGATTTAGATTCATAAAACAGGAAACCAAGTTATAATGCTTCAAAATAAGAATAAAAATATTAACTTAGGAATTAAATATAAAAGTAGAAAATCTAATAATACTTTTAAAGCTTTGAAAAATTGCTAAATGATTTTGATGCATCAAATTGTATTACCATAATTATAGGTGACACAAAAGCAGTGAACACAACAGCAGTGAACACAAAAGCAGTGAACACAACAGCAGTGAACACAACAGCAGTGAACATAGTGATCTCAATTTAAAACATGTTTTTGATCACATTTAAAATTATAAATTATATAACTATAATAAGGCAACAGCAATTAATATAATTAAAAAATTATAAACATGAAGCTGAGTTTATTTAATAGAGAAAGATACCAGGATGACTTCAAACTCAAACTTTGAGTCAATCTAATAATTGAATTATGTTTTGTTTTGCTATATTCACCTTCCCACAGTCAGAGGGACCCAGTTCTTTTGTTTCTTTTTACAGTTCTTTTTTAATTGTTTTACAATCAATTCTATAACTCCAAAATATGAACCGTAATAAACAAGACTATATGAAAAAAACTAATTAGGTACAGTACTATCAATACTATAATCCTACTCAGTACTTCTTGCTATAAAATCTTGTGCTTTTTTAAATACACTATTACCAGCAATAGATCCAAATGTAATTAATGGTATAAAGACAGTTTAAACAACCAGCTGTAAATGCAAAAAAATTTAAAATTTAAAATAATTTGCTTAAACTTTTTCAACTTTGATCATTAATTGATCTAAATCTATCTACAAAAAAAAATATTTTTAAGAATTGCAGCTGGGGTCTGGTTGAACACTTTAAAATACAATTTTGAGAAATTAATAAAAATCTGCACATTAATATAGCTTCATTAGTAATACATTCATGAAACACACACACACACACAAACAACTGCCTGTTAGCCCTACATCTCTTGTGAACAAACTAGCTGCTAAGTTTGCTTATTTCTTTGTGAAAATACTACACAAAACTACATTTTTGAATTTCCATTTTTCCATTTTATTTAATAGCTTTATTTAAACTTTCTGTTTAATGAAATGAATAAATAAACAGGTAAAAATAATGTAAAAAACTAAATGCAAATGGAACAACTTTTTTATTAGCCTTACGATTAATATCACACTTTTTATCAGATTAATTGCAAAACAAACAAAATACATAAATCTAATAAAACTTACAATAACATATGTCAGATTCAGAAGTTTGAAGGAGAAGCCGAAATGGAAGCGGCTAAATGAAAGTTCAAAACATAAACTTAACAACTATCAAGAGTCAAAAAAATTATAAAAATCATTTTAAAACTATCAAAAAAAACCTTATTATCAAAAACATTATCTAAGGTTCCAAGCAGTAATGATGCAAACCCACCACCTCCACCATGACCACGCCGTTTTTGTAATAAAAAGTATGGATTTGCTCGTTCAGTTTCCCTATTCAAAAAGATATATTAAATTTAAATTACATAATACAAAATAGCAATTTCACGTATGTGTTTACCTTTTAAGCCATTCATGTTACTTAAAAACTTTTTCGATTAGATTATTTTAAACAGTCTTTTGAAATAGTTTATGCGAAAAACATTAAGCAGTAATTAATTTTTGTAAAAAACATTTTCATTGCAATTATTTCACATGAAAAAATTTTTTTTTTTTTTTTTTTTATAAAAAAACAGATAGTTTTTAATATATTATTTACTGCTTTTCATTTTTAAAATTTTCTAATTTAAACTCATTTTATTATATTTAAATTTAATTTATTATTAAACAAAAAATTTACTTTATAAAAATTTTTTACTGTTAAAATTTGTAAACTATGTTAAAGAAAATTATTTTTTGTATTTTAATTCAAGTTACTTTTTTATGTTTGTTTTACATTCTTATTTTTTAAGTTCATTCATTCAAAAATAACAAATGTAAAAAAACTACATTTACATATTTATATTTGTTATTCATTTATGTTTTATTTATTTTTTATAGTTATAAATATATAAACTTTTTTCATCTCATTAAAAAAGTCGTAATTTAGAATTAAAAATGCTTAATGCACTTATGCAACTGTATATAAATGCATTGCCAGTTAAACCCTAATCAAACCTGTAGGAAAAATTATTTTAAATAACTTTTTTAATAAACTTTATATAACAAATTTATAAAAAGTTGATTTTTTTAGTTTTGAAATTGTTTATTAGCAAAAGTATTTCCATTTAAATTTTCAGATTAAACATAGAATGAACGTCGATTAGAAATGATTAACTAGTTTATGGATAGTTGGTGAAGATTTTGTTAAAGCCAAAATGTTAAAAAAAATTATTAAAAGTTTTAACTTTTCTGACAGTTAAAAACTTTATCCATAAACAATTCCCCCTCATGAAAAAAACACACACACACAACTAAATTGTGAGAAAGCAAACATAAGATGGTGTTAATGTGATTGATGTTGTTTTAAGAATTAAATAGAACAAGTATAAATTTTTAAGCAAATTTTTATTTTGTTAATGCGCTACTTTAAAATATGCAACTGAGGCAAGTTATGTTTTAACGATGTAAATATGAGTTACATAAACTTACATTACATTAAATCTAAGTCAAACTAATCTATCTAAGAAATGATTCCAGATTTAGCAGATTTTGAAATATCTGTAAATAAAAAAACAGGATTGATGGTGGTTAATAAAGAATATAAAAAATACAGAAGTGGAGGAAGGACAAAAGAAAAGTGACCTAGTTCTAGGTGAGGTTTCTTTTGATTCTGATGCTCATTCCTCTGCATCTTAGTCAGAAGTTATAGTTTCCACAGATAAAGATTCTGTACATTATTATTTTTTTATTTTTTCTTATTTTAGGTGCCCCAAGAAGTCCTTACAGTCCTTACAAACCATAAACTGAAAAGAGAAATGAAAACTAAATAAAAAATTTGATTAAAAAAATAAAAATCTTAACAATTGTTAAGATAAATAAAAAAATCAGAAAAAATATAAGTAAAAAATTATTATGCCTATATTTTAAATTAAAAGTTTTAAAGTTATTTAATACAAGCTTAATTTATTTGAAACTTAATTATTTAAAAATTTGAAACTTTGATATTTTCTAATGTTCTACTATGCAAATAAAAAACATTTTTAAAAATTATCCATTGACAGGATTTGACTATCAGTTGCTTCTAAATTAAAATATTACTTTTAATAATTTTATTTAGATTTCAATTTTTAAAATATACTTTTACGCTATTACTGTCTCTAGTTTATCTTTATCTAAAAAAAAAAAAGACAAATTTAAATTCACTTACCAAAATGCATTAGCCAGCAACACTTCCTGTGGCTTTACCCACATGAGATTGAGCTGTATAAAAATATTTGTATATTTTTATCCCACTCTTGATTATGTTAACATAATGTACTAATTTAGAAAAAATACATTATATCGTATTATATATACAACATAAATAAAATTTAAAATTAAAGATTAATTTATATATAAAATCAATCACACAATTTATTTGACCAATTTTATAACAAAAAGAGGCAAAAAACTGAAAAAAAATTGAAGAAGACCCAAATACGTTTTTTTTAATAAACTGATGTTCGTTCTTCTTTTTGTTCCATAGAAAATTTTAAATTTTTATTGAGATTATTTATAATATTTTTTTATTGATATGTTTAAATAACTCATGAACTTCAAGCTCTGAATTAAAAAACGTCATCTACATAATGTTTGTAAAAAATCAGTAAGGAAGATGAGCAACTATTAACTGATATTTGCTCATGGAACCTAATAAATATCTATGTTAAAATTAGAGATCAATTAGACCATTTAATTAATTAAACAAGAAATGTATTTTGAAATTTGAAGTAAATTATCCTAAATGTCCCAATTATTGAAACAATTAATCAAAAAAGTGGTAGAGAAAGTTTACTGAGTTTAGACATTTTAGGTAAATACTTGCTGTTGTGAACGGACGAAATAAGTTTTACTGTTTTTGAGTTGAGTTTTTATAATCTAAAATAATATATATATAAAATATATACATATATATATATATATATATATATATATATATATATATATATATATATATATATATATATATATATATATAATTAACTATACCTGCATTTAAAACTCCAAAAAAAAAATTTATTTACTGATAGTTTTGTCAGACAGTAAAAAAGTTACAAGAACTTCTACAATCCAACTAGAAAGTGCCAACTAGAAAGTGAATCAAGCGTTAAAGCTAAATGAGACTTTTTGCTACCCCTCATCAAAAGTCATCAAGCCACAGGATCAGAAGTATTGTAAAAAGGTTAAGAGTCAAATACCTACATTAGAAGCCAGGTATGAATATTGTATTTAAAAAATCAAAGAAATACCTCAAAGTCAAATAACTACATTAGAATAAGAGTCAAATACCTATATTAGAAGCCAGGCTTGAATATTCAAAAAATCAAAGAATAAAAAATCAATCAAATTTTTAAAATCTTACAACTACAATATGAAAAACAAGAAAAGGTAAAACTTTGTAACAGCTACTTGGTAATTGTAGTTTTTATCAGACTATAGATCTTGGGGGTAAATAGGGTTGGTACAAAGAAATGTAGTACACAAGCTAACTACACAATGATCTACAAACTTTAACTTGATGATCCACAAAAGCTACAAGATATATTTTTTCACTTTAGGAGGTTATGTAGAGGTAGTATATTTGTATTTGGAGCAGATATATATATATATATATATATATATATATATATATATATATATATATATATATATATATATATATATATATATATATATATATATATATATATATATATATATATATATATATATATATATATATATATATTTGCAAGTTCCAGTAAAAACTATGTTTGAAAAAGCTAATTGTAAAAGTACAACCAAAATAATAACAGTATTGTGAACTATAACAACAACTATTAAAACAACTTGTATCTTCAATAACTTAAAATTTTTGGATATTTTTAAGTAGTTTTTTAAATTACACTTGATTTATTTTTATCTCATTTGAAAATACTATTTAGTATTTTTTTGAAAAAGTGATATATTTTTGAAATTATAGTTCTCTATATTTTTACTTTTTATCCAGTTAGAGGAATTATACTTTTAAAAGTAATAGAATAAACAAATTTTGACTTTAAATCATTTGTTTCAATAAAATGGTAGTATAAACAGCAATGTAGTAATAAAACAGCAACAGTAATAAACTTAGTAAAAATATATGCATATTATAAAGACATAAATGTAAAACAAAAAACAAAAAATCATTAATTAGGTCATAAGCTGTTATTTGGAAAATAGAATTTAATATAATTATATAATATCAAATCCATCATTATAATATCTTATCATAAATTACAAAATCCATCATTATAATATCTTAACTCTTAAATAAATAATATTTTCATAATTATACTAACATCTCAATTATTTAGTTTTTACAAAATTAAACCTCTAATTCATTAATAAATAAAAATATTATAATATTACTTACTATAAAATTAGAATATAGTCTGATAAAAAATTGGTTAATTATATTCTAAGCAATGATAATACTTTTATATATACTCTATATATCTAATCATCAGTTAATGTCGAGAGATTAGAAAACATAGTATGAAACATAGAGAGATGAGTATACATTTATATTGTCACAAGTAAACATCATTTTTTCTTATGACTAAAAGATGTTTTTATAGTTTGGAGCATTATTATACAAAATTTTACATTATTAGCATATAATTTTATGTAGAAATACTCTCAATTGATTAATTATTTAGTACTATTTTAATATAATTTGTAGTGTTAACAATATTATTATCATGTTACAATTTATTTCAGATGTTTTCTCATAATAAAATTATACTAATAATAATAACAATAATAATGATAATAATAATAGCAATAATAATAGCAATAATAATAATAATAATAACAATAATAATAATAATAATAATAATAGCAATAATAATAATAATAATAACAATAGTAATAACAATAATGATAACAACAATAATAATAATTCAATAATTATTATTATAACATTGTATTATTAATATTATTATAATTATTATACAATAATATTTTGTTATTATTATTATTTTTATTATAATTACTATTAGTATTAATATTACTATTATTATTTTATTTTTACTTATATTGTCAATATAAGAAAAATAGTATAAAAAAAGTTATAACCATATAATAAAACATATAATTTTATTATGATACGATTATCATAATAAAACTGTATACTATTATGATAAAAAAATTCTTAAAAATTTTTCAATATTTTTTGGCAAATATCATAACACATATAAAAGTATGAAATGATGTTAAAATTAAACTACTTGAAACATTTTCGTTAGTGAACCTTTCGTTAGTGTTACTTAATCCATTTTTTTATATCAAAAGCTTTAAACTTAATGGTTATTTAAAAAAACTTTAAGCATTTTGATTTAATTAAAAAAAAAAAAAAAAATTTATCCAATCTATAACTAAAAAATCTAAATCATATCGAATTTCGATATAAAGTTACAAATACTTCAATATTTTTTGCAAACTTTCAAAATTACACATTAAAAGTAGAAACCACCTACAAATCAAGGATACGAAACTTAGTAAGAGCTAATTTAAGAAAATTTTAATAGTCAAAATTAATTTTATCCCCCTCTAGCTAGATGTCTTTACACGGGACTTGAAAAATATAATTTACTGAAGTATGTCAAAATTTAAAAATAGTGGGGGAGGGGGTGCACGTGCCCCTATGCCCCCCCCCTCCCCCTTGTGTCGTTGGCCCTTATCCCAATATAAACAGCCGGTTTTATAAATATGTGTTTTAAATTTTTTCCTCAACCAGTAGTCTAGTCTACTTTTAAAAGAAAGTACAGTGTAGTAAAAAGTTAATCTCTCAGGTAGTTAGTTCTAGAATTTTGCTAATCTATTATATAACTGATTGAATAAGGACCCCAAATAGACATTACATATTCAAATTGTGGTCTTATAAACACATTATAAATAACATGAGAGCCATATTTTCATCAATCAAAGTGAATGTCTTTATTAGCATACTAAGAATTTTTTTATTTTTTTTAACCTGGATCTCTTGCTTCTAAAGCAATTAGTGCTCCACTTGAGGTTAAATGTAAAAATAGTTCCCAAATCACGTTATTCTGAGATTTTTAAACATTGGTTTCCAACCCAAACAGTGACGATATTGTTAATAGTAACGCTTGCAAACTAAAAAGAAATTAATGCTTTGTAGGAGTTTGCCGTTTATTCGAAAAGATCGTAATTTTAAAATCTATTTAATAATTTTAATGTTGTGAGGTACAGAATCTAAAGTTTTAGTGAAAAAACGATAGATTATATCAATTAACTGGTGAGATGCTATGAAAGACAAAATGATATCAAAAGTCTCTATTAGATTAGTTACGCATGATTTATGATGAAAAAAGTTATGTTAATTTGCAGAGAGAATATTATTATCGCTTAAAGATTTTGTTCTTTATAAGTTTTTCGATGAATTTCCAGACAGCAGAGGTTAATTTTTTTTTTAGTTTATATATATTTGCTGTTTATATAATAAGAAAATATAATTACAAAGAAACATTTACATACAAAAAAAATTGATTTATAAAAACAGGCAGGGGCTCAAAGAAGATACGGATGACTAATGTCACTACAATCTTTTCATAGAGCTCCAATGTGGGCTTTACAAGTTTAAGATAGAATAAGATTGCTAAAAATACAATTGTACAATTCCAATATAATAAGAAAAAACTTTTATAAATATTTACATTTAAAGAAATAGAAGAAATAGTATTAATATAATTTTAACAAAAGTCATTTAAAAAATATTGACACAAAAAAGACACAATTTTTTTTTCAAACTAAGAATAATGGAATTCGATGTTTAATTAGAAAAATTTCAAAACTATTTATAATGTTTAAAAATTTCATTTTTTATTAGAAACTTAAAGGAGTTTAATGATTTTACCGTATTTAAATGTTTGGTTTTTTGAAATGTGTTCCATAGTTTCGGTCCACGGTATGCTATTCCATTTTTAGAATACTTGCTTCTAATTCTAGGCAATTAATAAGTATTCCATTGGTTTTTTCTAAGAGAGTAATTATTGTTAACATTTTTCGTAAATTTATTATTAAAGGTTTTCGGAATCAGGCGGAATCAACCCAAACCTCAATTAATGAAATAGGTCCATAGTTTTTAGCAAGTAATTTATCTTGTTGTTTTTTTATAGATCGGACTAATATTCGCCAGTGAGAGTGGGAGCAATTCCAGAATTCCAGAATTTATGAAAATTTTTTGTAAATAGAATTAAAAAACCAATTGCACATATCTTAAGTACTAAGTGATGCAAGCCGTCAAATCTGAAAGATTTAT